TTCCTGTTACCGGAGCAGAGCGTTGTTTGTCGTTGTGCATCATCGATCCTGATTCCTTTGTCTGGCTTCCGATAGATTTGGATGGAGATATTATGACAAGCTTTAATAAGGTTCATCGCTCCCGGTTGCTCTAGTCGAATCACTGGCCGCAGCTGTTGCCACTCTTCACCCATCTGAGACGTCTGTTGCCTGTGGCAGCGGTCCGAGGAAAGCTTTCTGGGACGTATTCATGTCAAATACATGCACTAAAGAATCTGGGCTCGAGCACTTCCGTGCTGATAACGGTGCCCGGGAGAAGGGAGATTGACCCATAGCATCCAGACCCTCCTATTCTGTCGGATAGACCGAGGCTGTTTGCCACCGAACCGATGACGCTCCGGATACTTCAACGGGAGTTTACACAATCGAGAACGTCGCGAATTTGTCAGGTTTGGGGGAATTCTCCCGGACTGCGGACTAATGAAAGGAGTATCAGCTCCCGCTGTCGCAGCTGTAGCTGTCGGAGCTGAAATTGTCACCGTCACGTCGACGGCCCTTTCGCGGATTACTCGGAGCGTGCCCTCCCTCCCTGCTGCGTCAGCGTCCCGCATTAAGCGGCGCAATCGCTCGCGGGCTTGCCTCATTTTTTGACCGTAGCGTTCCAGTCAAATCGTTGCGGAGAGCGCTTCTCGAAGAAGCCGCCCGACTGCTGAACATTCTGCCCCTTGTTGGTGATAGCCATGGTTGGTGCGGCCCCGAAGCAGCAATCAGGATCAGATCAGAGTTCGGCGGACGGCGATCCCCAGATGGCGGAAATTCTCGTCCAACAAACTCTCGGGCCTTCGATTTTCAAAGAATGCCGCCATGCTCTGAAGCGTCGAAAAAACTGGTTTCACTCGAGCATGGGGCTGAATCCTCAGTAGGAGGAATCGTTCGTCTTCTCCCACTCTGTGGGCAGTCTGCTTTCCCGTGCTTATGAAAGAAAAGACACAAAGCAAGTATGGAGAAAAGCAGAATAATGCAAGAGTGGGGGTAGAAGTTAACTTTGTCTTGATGATCCCCGCTCCTTCGATTCCTCCTCTGTTGGTCGGCCGGTCTTCCCCTCGCTAACTCGCTCAGCGGCCAGCCAAGGTGTTCCCGACTCTCGGGCCAGGGACAGACGAGCAGCCAGCTGGTCCAACTTTTGGCTAGCCATGAGTGATCGGTAGACCCAGAGCGGAATGAAACCGGGCCCCAACTCTGGCCAGGCCGACCAAGTAGCGAGCTGGCGGACAGCCGTGCAGGCCAACAAACGGAGGAATGGGAGAAAGCAAGAAAGCAAGCTAGGAGCTTGCACGTCTCTCAGCCAATCCTTGTCCTCCTCCACCCGGCTCGAGAGGCGAGATCATCTTACATCAGAGTACGGACCTCGCGAGAAGAGCTCAATACCTCCCGTTCTTCTCGGCAATTCTCCTAGCCAGGGATCATCGGCTTCCCGGAATCACGATATCCTTGCACGAAACTCCAAGGACTTGGACTCGTTGGAAACTCTATTGAGAGCGGAGAGAATTGCGAGAGTTGCGATCAATCAAAAGCAAGTTCGCACCGCTTCCATCTACAGCGAAATCCCGGTAAACGCGGATTCGATCGTGAAACGGATGAGTTCCACTTTTGCTGCTCTATTCGAACGGAATCACAATCCATCCGTTTTTTGCGGAACGGCCTGGAACCGTCAACGGCGGAAAAACGAGCTTCAGGCGTACTGAATATGGAGCTGATATGGGCGGATTATCCGACAACAAGTTCTTCTCTTTTCGTGGTCGTCTCTGGACGCGGCGACTCGAGCCTTCTCCAAGGAGATATTTTCGACTTCAGTCAGCTAGGAAATCCGATTCGGTAACTTGGATAAATGCTCAAAGTAACTGGCGGTTCGAACCGTCTATGAGACGACCGACGTTTCCATGCACGGAGGGAGGAACGAAATTGTTAAAGAAGCGAAATGTGAATTCCATTAGGGAACGTCAAAGAAGTTCTGCCGACGAAGCCGAGCCCCCGTCGAATTCCTCCACATCGCAGCCGGTGGGACAACGTACCCATGACGTCTCGCGAGCGTCCGTCGCCAGCAGAGGTTATAAATTTCTCTTCGACTCCCCGGCTGTTCCACGGCTGCTATTAAAATCTCAAGTGAAATTCTTGCTCACATGCGATCTGCTCGCGACTTGCTTCCTGCGCGTATCGATTATTTTCTTCCCGCCAAGCTCCAAGTCAGTTTTCCCTCCTGTGCCTCGACTCCGCTTGATATTCTCGTCGTGTGTCGAATTCGACCTAGCGCTACCAGATCTCGACTGGACGCAGCTTGGACTCACAGCGGTGGCTCGGAGCTCGTCTTGACGTGCCTCGAGCACTCTTGAGATCAGTTCAAGGGACAAGCTGACATGCTCAATTTGTGGCTTGGCGGAAGAGGCTCCTCAAATAAGATACGACGGATGAACTCCCAGGGATCCTGCAACGCCCGTGGTTTCCAAACCACCATAACGAGATCTCTGATCCGATATAAGTTACGCCATAATTCTACACGGTAGACTCGTCTCCCGAGGCAAGAGCTCTACGCGCTTCTGGGAGCTTGAGTAGCTCGTTCGTTCACGGAATCCGGGAAATCGTGGCGACCTTTTTTTATGGTAGACAAGGAGCTCGGTCCACCGCCTTTTTGCTTGAATTAGATGGCCCAATCTTGCAATCATATGTATATTCGTCCCCTTCTCGTCCGTGAGGAGCCGCGCCAAGGAGAGCACCGCAGGCGATTCCATCTCTTTTTCTTGCGCGCTCGTACCGACCCCCTCTTGCTCAATGCGCACAGCGGAGACGGGAAGTCAGATGTAATTGGTGCCGGGGGAAGGAGGAAGGGATCAAGCGGGAAACTCCGAGGACTCTGGCGAATTTTGGAACGAGCACCGAACAAGTGAGCTCAGACTAGCGGAAATTAAAATATACCGGGCTCGGTGGAAAGAAAATGAATTAGGTACTTGCGCTTGGAGATTTCGAATGCTCTATTCAACCCCAGAGGTGGCGTCGCCACGTTTCTGAAGACGAGAGCCACGAAATCGGGGAGCGCTCGCTGTGAGCTACTGTGGGAGGATATGCCCGAGGATCCACAACGCTCACCACTTGCTTTGCCGTACGACCGCCTTAGTGACAGCTCGGCTCTCCGCCCGGCCAGCGACCATTGCGATATGTTGCCGCCCTCATGGAAGATCTATTTAAAATTTTTGACGCTCTCCTCCGCTCCGAAACGCAGGAACATCATCTGCAGCTGGCGTCCCATGCTTGTGGAGATAGCAACGATGCCTTTGCACCGTAAATCACGTCACCCAGTGCAGTCGTAGCTACGACTGCAAACTGACGAACGCAGATGGAATTTCGTTCCGTCCCCGTCGCGATCCTCCTATTTTCACGCTCCTTTACCCTTCTCCTAAAGACCGTCGTCTTGACGCTCTTCGGCCTATTTTCCTCACTCTCCCGGATCTCGGCGCTCCTCGGCGAAGCGGCAGCCGAAGACGACAACTGCTGCCGCATGAGACGAAATCGTCGTCTCCTTCCTCATGACAGACAGCGAGCTCCACATACATTCTCCGCACAGAATCCAATTCCGGCGGAGAGGACTTCGACAGAGGGAACAGAGCAAAGTTAATGACAGGCAATTTAGACTTCCAGCAAAGAGAATAATCAGCTTAGCCAGTGAATTATTCGATGCAGACAGAATTAGGCTCGGAGGAAGTATTCCGTCCAAAACGTCTCTCACGCACAGCCCTCATCTACCCCATCCATTGTGATGGCGACGCCCCCGGCCCGTCAGAGGAAATCCGTGTCGTTGCTCACTTCTTACTTTACAACGCATTCCTCTGGAGTAGATATTCTAATTCCTTCCGAGGGCGGAATGGTCGTTTCGAGCAACCGACGCATCTCCTGGAGAATATCTTCCGGTCGCGGTGCAAATGATACCTATGGATGAGTCTGGGAGCTAATCACTCACGGAACGCAGAGACATACGGACGGACCTCTCTTTGACAACGAGAGCGAGGGATCCTCCGGTCTTTGGGAATCGTGCGCGCGTTCGCGAGACACTCCAATGTCTCCTGAGAGCTCTTCAGCTGAACTGCTCCTTCCCCGTGCTTGTGCTTCTGCTGACTGAGAGTCAGCTCGAAGCTTGGTCTTGCTCGCCGTACGCACGGTGGCGCTTGAACGGAATACTGAATTCCCGACACTGAGACGAATTATTTTATATTCCTCTCCCATGAGCTCTCCAAATGCAAGAAAGTACCGTCTGCATGCGACTTCTGAGACCAGATCTTGACTCGGTGAATCGCTACAGGTTTCACCGTCATGAAGTCGTGATCATCTGCTATTCTTCAAAATCGGGAGGTAAGTGATCAGCCTTTTTCCTCGCGCGGAACCCACCTTCCCATGAATTAGCATGAGACTCCACTCACTTCTAGCACAAGTTCTCGGAAATTCAGCGCAAGACGGGAGGCGCAAGGGAATTCCGTCGCATGAATTCCCATTGCCTGCAGACCAAGAACGTATCTAGTGCCTTCATGAAACGAAAGACCGATGCCGGCTCTTTTCCCCATCGCGGAGCGCTTCGCTCCCATTCGTCATGCATCATGAACGTCGCCGTCTCCGACGACCCGAATTTCATCAAGTAGCTCTGTTGCTCCATCCTGATCCCTCCAATATTTGTCCGGCCGCCGTTTGCGCACACGCCGCAGGCTATGTAAACTGTCGGGAGAGGCTGCGCTTACGCTGTATTATCGCACGCAGGTCCTGGAGGATTCAGTGGACATCCGGAGAGCCCGAAATGTAGGCTCGCTGTTGGTATTTGATTTTTCACTGATAGGCATAGCCCTGAGCCGATTGGTCGCTCTCTTCCGCAGACGCATATCCTCCGGGGAAGAAAGTGCTCCAGACCAGAATGAGAGCAAAATACGAAACTCACGAATTAAAATATGTGTATTCCCAAGCACGAGCTTCCGGCGCTCACCTCCTCATAATAGAAAGTCTCTGAAACGATATTTCTGAGCCACGTCCAAAGACACGAGCTCCAGAGGCTCTTCTGTTTTGACCGCTAATAAAACACGGAGTCTGTTCAATATATGCAAGAAATTCCTTGACGTAAATGTATACAGCGGCGGACTTTCTGGATCGTTGGAAGTATCCTCGATACGGGGCATGCTCGCCAACTTGCTGGTCTGGAACTACGACGGGGAATCAACTCAGGAAGGATTCATTTGAGAGATCGACCATCGAAATATTCAATCTCATGGACCCGCAATACCGCGGGAGCAACAGAATATCCTCGAAGAGTCACGCGTTCTCACTTTTTTGTCTTTCTTCGCTTTATTCTGTCTCCTCATGAGGGTATCTATTCCTGACCAGTCGATCACGGTGCTGACCTCGACCTCGCGCCAGTTCGTGTCTCTTAGATACTGGTGCGCGCGGAACTCAGTGTAGTCACCCGAACAGAGTCTCTTCAGAGGATTCTTCTGCAGGCATCTCTCGATGAAATCGACCTCTGGCGATTCCAATTGGGCATCCTTTGGAAAAGAGTGACTACCTTCCTTGATGAGCTCTTTGAGCACGACTCGGTCGCTCGACCGAAACGGTAGGTACCCGAAGGCCATCTCGAATAAAGTGATCCCCAGAGCCCACCAGTCGATGCAGCGTCCATATCGTTTTTTCATGAGGACCTCCGGCGGAAAAAAGTGAATAGTTCCAGCGGTTTCCCTGTCGATGAACTCTGTTGCCGTCCTGACGTAAAAGTTGCGCATCGGTCTATTGGAGAACTTTCCCATTCCGATTTTAACCGTATCGAAATCGAAAAGTTTGATACGGCAGCCTCGAGTGATCATAACGTTCGAGGGCTTTATATCTCGGTGGATGAACCCTGAAAGACGGCGGAGAAATATTAAGCAAGTGGTATTCCAAGATCTCACCTGTTCGAATGCTTCTTCGATACAAGGATAGGAAAGAACGGCAACGGCCATCCCGATAGGTACCCTTAAAGTGTAGATGGGAGATCGCTAAGCATAACTGAGCGATTACATGACGTATAACTTTCGGAGGCAAACGCTGCGGTTTTGAATATTCCTTGACAACGTGTAATAGATCAACTGCGTGGACGAGCTCCATGACGGTTACGTGCGCGATGGAGCATCGGAACGTGCAGAGGTATTTCATGACCAGCGGATGGCTCACCAAACACGCTGTAACCTTCCAGTTTTTCAAGAATTTATGACTCGCTCGACGTCACGGATATTGCCTCTTTCCGGTGCGATCGGGAGCCGAGATCGCGAGTATTTACCTTGTCCACAGCTGCGTATTTGGGCTGGACCTGTTTATCCAGAGGAACCATTTTGACGGCCACCTCCAGAACGCCTCCGAAAACGGCTTTCGTCACCACGCCGAATCCGCCGTGGCCAAGAATCGCGGTGGTGACGAATAAATTCGTCTCCGGCATCATGCTTTCGAAGTTAGGCTCCGGGATGGGAATACTACTTGCTGATCGACAATTATTCGCAAGCGAAGTCCAGTTTGTTGCTCTCTGATTTGATTTGAGCTCGATGAGGGCAGCGATGTCTCCCATTATGACTAGCAGCCTTTCGATGAGTCGGAGCAGCATGATGCCTGCCGACTTCGGGATTCCATCCATACAAGAGTCAGAGAGGTCGAACAGATTGACGAAAAGCTCTCGAATATCTTCGTATCCTAATCTTTGCTTTCTCATCCGAACGTGGAAGAGGAAGCCCACCATGCAAGCCTGCTGTCGCACGAAATACTCTTTCGGTTGGAATCGCAATTTCAGGAAACGAGTCTGTCGAAAAATCGGAAATACGACACGATCAGTCGTGCGTCGTGCTCCCCTGCCGAGTCTGCGCTCCCTCTCCAGCGATTCCTTCCAATACCCAACCGAGATGCCGCCAGAATCGATCGAAATCCAGTTTGCGGATACTGAGCCTACCCTTTTTATGTATTCCTCAAGCAACTTGACAACGGAGAGATATTTCACATGGTTCCCGGTGGCTTCCTGGAACACGATCTTTTTCTTTCCGGACAGAGCTCCGCGCTCTTGGACACCGATCGCCACATCGGCTGCAGCTGGGACTGCTTGTGGCTCCGGAAGAGCAGAGTCTACGATGCCGGCGGCACCAGCGGATGTCAATCGATAGGGATCAACTCCCTCCTCGATATTTGTTGGCACAGCGCCTCTCGGCGGGGCGGGTTGAGCCGGTGTGTAGTCATATGTTGACATCGTTTTCTTTGATAGACATATCGCGCCTGATTTATTAAGGGAGCGTGTCTAGTGTGTTCGACTCATCGATAGACGGGATCACGAAAGAATTGAAAAGTCTTCGCGGACTGGAATCGAGCGTGCCTGCTCGATCTCGTCGACCGCTCGTCAGGCGATGATCGGATCCCTCGGGAACAGACTCCGAGTGAGAGTTAGCTGGCTGACTGATTTATTATTTAACCGAAAACGCATTCCGAGTCCGTAGCTGCGATAATGCGACCCCGACACGATTCGATTCAAAAGGATTCGAGAGGAAAATTGGCGTATGGTCGCTAAGTCAGGGCACCGGAGCTCAGTGGTCGCGAGTCGATATTTTCTGCTGCAGTCCCTAAAGGCGGAATCCGTTTGACCTCATTTGCCACAGCGCTTCTCTGCCTTGCAGTTTTCGGTCGCGGAGAGTCTTATACATACGACGGTTTTGTGTTTTGGAAACATTCCGCAGTATCGAACCTGAAAATTGACGTAATCGGACTCTCGAGCGGAACATTTTTCTACTTGATGCTCCTCGTTCCGAGTATCCCCGGCTATTTTCACGCCTGGCTGCTTGTTGCGTCTGCGTCCACCCAACAAGGAAGACTCTCATCGCTCAACTGGAGACTCCGAAGGAACGACGAGAGAGGGCTGCCCGGGTCAGGCGAGTCAAGTGAGGATAGAGGGCCTGTCAGCATCGTAGGGAAAGCGGGGAGCCTGCTGCTCCGAGGCAGTGACCAGTTCTTCGATATGCTCGAAGAATTCTCAAACACTAGAGGAGGAGATGCACGACACGGGATCTGTTACTCCGTCAAACAAAGACTCGAGCGGGCTCCAAAGTTGAGTACCATCGAGGATATATTCGGCTTCGAGCTATGGCGTCCCGAGTAATATATTTTCTGGAATGAGGACACGATTCTTGACGGATGATGGACTTGAATTTTTTGACCCCAAAAGCAAGAAGGGAAATCGGAAGTCAGATGGATTACCGGGGCAATTTCACGCTATTACCATTCGGTCGCTTCTCTGTCGAGGCCGTTGGGCTTAGGCTCACCGATTGCTGAACCGGGAAGCCGACCGATCGACAGACAAGCAAACTCGCTTGTGCTCAGGGTATTGCTTATGAAATCGAGTCCCCAAGCTCACCGTCTTTGGTTGCCCCCGCGGAGCCTCGGGCCACGTGGTTGGCGCCATAAATTCCCTATGATAACGCCAAGGACCAAACGCGATATGGCAGACGGAGATATTGAGGGGTGAGCCTTCTCTGGCAGAGAATGCACTCATAGCTCGACCAATCTCTGCGACGATGAGTTCAGCCTTCCACGATTCGCCAAGTTTCTCTCATGGAAAAGGAATTCAACGTCGATACGGGTTTAGAACCGAGGCCTAGCCGAGAGTGGCCCGAGGCCGAGGAAGTGATGTCGCGCGACCCATAAGAGTTCACCGTCACTTTTCAGAATTTATCGATCGATGGATCGTGCGTGAGTCCGGACGGCCTATATCACCTATCCCTCACCTCCTCCGAGCCCGATCGTGGTAGGCTCTGTGGACGACTTCGGTAAGGAGGGATCTCTCAAGCGCTCGCCCGAAAAGGAATGGGAATCACCCTCGTTCAGGGAAATCCGGGCTCCCACACTGGACT